AAAATTATGATCTACTTGTTTGCCATTCCTGGAAGAAAGACTTTCAAAGTAATCAATGATCACAAGAATCTATCCCTCTAAACGATCTACAAAGTCTTGCTCTAAACGCAAGGCTTTCTCCGTTCTGTGGTATCACGTTTTTCCGCCTGGGTAACGCTTTAAGGTGGTGTGATGCGTTCAAGGGGAGATAAATGCTCTTTTTTTTATACACTTATATAGATAAGATTATATATTTATTCAAACCACTTGCACGAATATGTCGAAGAACTAACAGGAAATATTCAATATAAAAAAAAAACTGAGTCTTGTTATAGTTGTTTTGATAATGCGTTGACGTTTCAGACTAGAAAAGCGTGATTGACCTGTCCTTACTTATTACATCTTATCATACCATAGCTGAAAGATAGTTTTCATTTAATTATTCAATTCCTTTAGTAGATGCAGCATAAGAAAGCTTACAATAGTAACAGTTAAATGGACATTTATACGTGCGAATACGTTCGCCCAGCAAACCAGCTAGCTCACTTTTCAATCCAATCATGCACTTTTTAATTTTACGATTTTATGACAAATATCTTTCACTTGTTGGGAGAATTCGTCACGTCTTCCATTAAGTAGATTCCTAAGACTTTAACAAAGCCTCTTAATTTAATTTTTGAAAAAATTTTAAATGTTAAAAAGAAACTTTTTTACTTCTTACTTGACGATCTTATTTTATCCGCCGTCAAAATTGAAATGTCCGATTGTATGAAAGAGAGAAAGAAATGCACGTCTGCAAAATTAAAAAACTCCCCTATTGTGAATGAATAAAAGAAAACTCTCATTGTGAATGTTAACTATAAATAGCGATCAGCTGACGATATAACGCGCTTCTTTGTAATTATCGACATTTATAGTGTCACCGAAGTCTTCAAATAAAAAAAAAAAGTTGTCAGCTGATATCATTGTCGTATAGCTTACGACAAAAATAGTATAGCTTACAACAAAAATAATAAATGTTTAATGAAAGAAAGAAAAACACGAAGAGATACAAGGAAAGTGAACGGGAGAGAATTAAAAATTCTAAGCAAAACATACAAAGCAGAGTACGGTATTATATTGCATCTATGCATAACTTTGAAGCGAAATTCAGACAAAAATCGCCGGGAATTTATTTTTGTGCATATGCCAAAAATATGAAACATACATTAAAATTATATGACGTTAATATAACGTTCAAAGAAAGAGAATGAGTATAAAACTCCGCAAGGTATTTTAATATACGGTCCACCTGTAGGTTTGCCAGATGAGAAAGCACGCAAGGAAATCTTGCCGTTAGCCGATGACGTTGAAATCTCTACGCTAAGCAAAAGAAATTGAGGGCTATTCCAGTGCGGAAATTCAAGCAATATGCCATGAAGTAGATCTCAAGGCGCTAGAAAAATACCTTGACTTGCACCATGTGTGCTGGCCACAATTCGAATACGAAGATGGTGTAGCGGTGCTTGGAATAAACCAAAAAACAAACATCTTTTTTTTTCTTTTTGGTTGAATTGAGATGGACTAAGCCAATAGATTTGTGGCTTATATGTCCAGATAATAAACTGTCGTAATTTTTGGTCACAATTATGTACAAAACGCAACAAAAAAAGGAGCGGCCGTAATAACTGGAGCCAGCATGTTAAGCGTAATTGTGTATGTGTGTGCTTGTTTAGTTCTTGAAAGTTAAACAGTGTTGCAAACTTTGGCTGAAAACGAAAAGGAATGCTATGGTAATAGAAGATGATTGAACGCAAAAATGAAAGAGAAAAACGGAAAGAAGAGGAAAAAAAAATTTTAAAAGGATAAATTTGCTTTTCTAAAGCAAGTTAGTTCCCCGAGATGACGTACATTTTTTGCTGCAAAGAGATCGAGGAAACAGCCACATAACTCGAAGAAGCTAAAGCAATTTCTAATGCCATTAAGCTTGTGACATCTGAAGATTAGATGCTCAGCAGACTCAACAACATTGCAAACTTCACAAACATCACATGGTATAGCGCGAATCATTTTTAAATAAACCTTGTCATAAGTATGACCACTCATGAGTCTATAAAGAATTTTGATTTCCCAGGAATTAAAAGAAGATACAGAAAAGGGTTTGAATTGAAATGTGGGATTTAATTTATAGAAAAGGCGATTGGATTTAACGCGCGCGATTTCTTTAAATTCGTCGTTTAGCTGTTGAAGGATGAGGTTGCGAATTGCCTGAATTGCTTAATTGGGAGTGTATTTGATGGACAAAATTGTCCCATCAACACGAGCTCTCCCTGCATGAAAGTCGGCTTTTACATTTTAAAAAAAGCCGCAGTGGCCAGGTACACAAACGAGGTGACAGAAGTAGAGCTGACCTGCTGTCAGAAAAAGTAACAAACCTTCTGATATCATCGAAGATAGCAACCTTAATAGCATGTCGAATGGCGAGCAACTCAATAAAAGTCGAGGAAAGTTCCTCTTCCACTTTAACTCGATGTACTGTTTCAGGTAGATGTTTCACGACCGAGAAGTCAGATACATTATGTCCGACGGAACCGTCGGTGGCATATATATTATATCCGTTGTTGTATTAAAAAAGGAGCTTTTCTTGGCATAACAACCTCATACAAGAGAAGTTGACATTTTGTTTTGAGGGAGAGATCGATCCGAGAATGTTCATGAAGACTCTGCATTTGCTGGTAATGAAATTCAAGGGAGGAATTGAATCTAACTTATCAAAAATATGACGAAGTTTTTAATAGCAAAAAGTATAGCTGCAAGTGACAGTATCACTGAGAGATATAATTTCCTGAAAAAAAGAAGCATTTATCATCTTGACTTTAATTAACTCTTTGGCAGTGCAAAAAATGGCTATTTCGGAAACCGGCCATTCACCAGATATGACATTGAGAATATGTTGAGGAGTTGAGGGGGTCAGTCCAGTACAATGCTTCAACATTCGGTTTTCAAATGCTTGTATACCTTTCTCAATATATTTTGGGAAATTGCAACATGTGAAATGTCCAAATTCAATTTTGGACCTGACTAGAGATTTGTAAACGGTTAAAAACAAACATCAACTAATAACTAAGTGACGATGCATCGACTGTAACAATTTATTTATTTACTTGCCTTATACATACGTATGCGTCCACACATTTACGTTGCCATATGTCAGTACTACTACTATTACAACAATATTTACTATAAACACCTGTTAAAACGCTTGCGAAAGTTTTGAGTATTCATTCTGTCAAATAAAATTTCGTGGGAACCCACAATTTCATGGTTTATCGCCTTTGAGCTTACGTCGCTCAACGCAGCTTTGGGTGTTATTTTACTGTACGCAGCCGGAGTCGCTGCGTTTGGACAATTAACACACCCCCGAAGGTCAATAATCACATGAGACGCTTTAAATAGAGTTTAAAACATTTAAGAAATAAATACTAAAATATCGAATAGCAAACGCGGTGATATTCAAAAAATAGGGCGACTGACAGATTGAACAGACTGATATCTATGCCAATTTACTACTATGAATTAATAAACATGACACAAATTTTCAATTTATTTTGGGAGTTGTCGAAAAAATAGACCGATTCAAACCATTTTCAATAGCGTTCGTCCTTGGGCCAAAATACGGCGGTGTACCAAATTGCATTAAAATATCGCAGAAATTGCGACCTAGAACTTGAACACAAATTCATATGGGCAGACATTGGAAGGACGGGCAGGCAAATAGACGGACAAAAGTACAAAAGGACAGACGGAGAGGCGAAGAGAAAGGCTCATTTGTAATTTTTCCGTCCATCACCATAGAATGATGCGTTTGCAAGAGAGAAACTTGAGAGTACATACATTCATGATCAGCATCTAATTATAAATCGATTTATGTACGTCCGGCTGGTGTCTGCCCATCTATGTAATCTTTGTTTGTCTCTTGGCCACAAAAATGAAGCTGGCAGAAGCATTGGAAATTGTACAGAGGCTGGTATTGAAAATTGCGCATATCAATCGAAGGATACGCCTACAATGTGACGTTAAAAATTGCGTTCCTTGTTTATTATTCATAAACTACAGCAGATAAATCTACAAAAATTTGAAAATCGAATAATATCCCATGAGTATACATTTTTTTTTGGTTTTAGTATATATTACGAAAAAATAGTAAAACTAATTATAATAAAATAATCATTTCTCGCTTCTTTAGTATATATTATCCAGCCAATTAGTATTTATAGCGATAGATGGCCACACTAGCAACGCCAATGAGTATCGAACCCAATAAGAAAAAAGCATAAGAAAAGACTCAAAATGTACTAACATTAAAAAAAATAAATGAATCTTATAAGAAAATTTGCGTGTTCTATCAATTCTCTTCATTTGTTATTTCTTTGAATTAGTGCGAGTACGCCTTAAACCCGATAGCCGCCACCACTTTGGTCGGTTTGCCATTAATACTGCGTCGTTATCTTTTTCCCTTTCCTGAACTGGCAATTTTCTAGTGGCGCCTGGTGTACTTGTTTCAACAGCATTTTTAACAAACTCCCCTAATTCTGGTGTCCTAGTCTCGGTTTGTCGTGAAATTCTATTGGGTGTCTCACAGAGTTGGGGTGACCTATGATTAAATTTTGGGTTTAATGACAACAAGTGCTTTTTACGACACAGCGTTGGACCATTTAAAAAGGTTTGTTTCGATTCATCATCAAGAGCCAACAAGGGCGTATCATCGGTCTGTGGACAGGCAGCTACTGACAATTTGCTGCTACAACTGGGACAATCATACATTCTTTCTTCTTTCCTGCTTGTTAAAAATATACACCGTCATAAGGTAATTTGCTATCTAAAAATGGCGACAACCATACCAAATGCCACCGATTTCCCATAACCATTATTAAATTTTTCCTCCAACCCCTATCATATTTAGACGTTTGACGTTCATGATAGGACATAGCACCCTTCAAAATGCTTCCGCCAAATATCTATATATACATCTATCTTTTCAGAGATTATGTTCACCAAATGCAACTATGAGCTGTGCGATGTGCTTAGCAGACTCCTCCGCAAGTATCCGGACCTGTGGCATCCTCGGCGGTCTTCACCCAAAGGACTCTACAAAGAACTGGCGCGCAGGCTTAGCGTGGAGTTAAACAGCACAGTAACCGTTCCGCGAGTTATAATGACTCTACAAACAATCAGAGATGGTATAAAAAAGCTTGATGCAGGGTCGTTCCATACCGCTCTTACCTCATATGCGTGGGATGCTGAAGAGCTGGGATGTAAGCAGGCAGCTAAAACCAGGAGGAGACTTTTAGCACGTGAAAAGGCCGCTAAGGAATATACCCGTCTGGCGAAAGGAAAATTTTGCAGATTCGAGGAGGGTGAGACGGTTCTGAATACATCCATCATAGATGATGTTTTATTGGGATTGAGGCGTATAATACTCGAACTGAAGTTTGAAACTGTTTTAGAAGTATCTTCAACTGCGACATCGCAAGGATCGACGACGGGGCGATCTACTCCAAACGAGATGGTAATGACGCCAAAATCACTCAAGAAAACACGTGCCTGGATGCTGGACAGATTCCTAAAGGACCGCGGGAGAATAGCTACTAAAGATTGCGAGGTCCATAACGAGAGTTACGGCAGACCCTCTACCTCTACGCAGGCTGCAAATCGCCGGCAGTCAAATCGTCCAAAACCCGCCCGATTGACCGAAGAGGACGACTTTGCACAGGCCCACAACAAGAGCTACGACGGACCGTCTACGTCTGCCCAGGCTGCAAGTCGCCGGCAATCAAATCGTCCAAAACCCGATCAACTGACCGAAAAAGACAGAGTTGTGCAGATCTATTTTGACGAGGTGTACACCAACCGCGCGACGGTGTACTCGCGAGCAGATGACGCGCTGCGGGGTTGCGACTACTCCAACCAAAGGAAGACGAAGACAATAGAACACCAAAGTGTGCTGGTCTTCGCAGCACGTAGTCTTCTCACTCCATTCCACGTAGTGCTGAGCAGCTATCCCCGCACAACAACTCAGAAAAAAATTGGGCCGGTGTTGGAAGAAAACATGAAAATGGCTGAAGAGATGGGGCTGGACGTGAGAGCTGTTGTCTACGACCGAAATCGGGCAAACGTACAGCATACACGTATATTTGGAAACAAAGTATCCAATAGAAAGCGGGCAAACGGCAGCGCACACTACATCCGGTTTTTGTGCGATTATCCCCATATAGTAAAAGTAATTTTTTAAAAAATAGGGGCCGAAAAAGACCGTTTTGATATCAATGTCTTGTCGATAGTGTCGGAAATGCGACCGAAAGGTTCTTCTTACTGGCAACAGAGAGGCTGGATGCCGGCCTACAGCAAGGCATGGGAGTCAGCCATTTCGATGCAGGCGATGAGCGATGCGCAGGTCGCAACACTCCAAAAGCAATCGAAGACAATGACGGAAAAGCGCAAGCACTCTGCGACTTAACCACGATAATTACCAAGTTCGTAAACGTCATTCATCGAGAAACCATCAGCAGCGACACATGGACAGAGCTGAAAGAAGAACTGAAAGACGTAGAAGATTACTTGCAGAACGAATTTATTGGGGACCTGGATCTCTGGACGTCCAAACAACAATCACGAACTTCCAAGCAATCATGGAAGAGCTGCTGGAGGCTTACCCTGGCATAACCATCGCGCCATACAGGGTAAGCCAAGATCTGTTGGAAAGATTTTTCAGCAATATGGCAGCCAACAATAGCAACAGGAGGTGCCGATCGTCCGTAGAAATAATGGCGCTGACCAAAATACTAAGGACCGCAGAGGAGGAGTGTTGGTCAGCAGCAGTCGAAGAGGAGAACGACTACCTCCTCATCGATAAACTGAGCTACGTCCTTGAAGCGCCGGCCAATGAAGAAGACGAATTTGTACCGTTCGCCCCTGATGGTGAAATATTCTAAGATCTGTCCATTAGCCGTTACGCCAAAAACTTGAAGAGTTCCTGAGGCTGCTCTCAGGATGTGGAATAGCACGCTACATTCGTGAGCAGCTGCAATGCGAAATATGTTTAGAGGAATTCACGCTGAACGAAGACGCCTTCCGCTATGTGAAACGAGGTCGCAAGATTGCCAGAAATAAACTAAATAGATTAACGTAGACCTCGAAATATTTAAAACCGGCCTTTCCAACAGAATCTCTCCATAAAGCTTTTCAGAAAGGGTACGAGATCTTCTACGCGACCATGAGACAGCACATGCTTGCAAAGAATATAGGCATGCGTTTACAGGCAACAATAGTGAGACGAATTCCTTTTTTCCGAAGATCAGGATCATGCAGCAGAAGTGAGCTTCACCGGAGGAATTTGCTCGGGTTCTTGCTGGTAATATTACTGTCCGGAATAAATTTTAGGGAGAAAATGGAGACCAACATCACGTGGTCGTAAGTTCCTTCGCGCGCCATCTCCACCCTCCTCGCAATATTCGTTGCATTCCTATGGTAAGTTTGCATTTATCTTTACTAATTGTTATTTGTAATTTAATTATTTATTTCAATTTAATTTCAGATTAAAACACAATAAGACAATAAAAATTGCTCAGCATAAAAAGACAAATTTTTTTTCCCGTGAAGGATATTAAGTAGCAGTAAATATGCTGAGCAAGTCTTACGTGCAGCCAAAGAATTGCCCATGCTCAGTGCTGATGCCACTTTGCAGCCTATAACACGTACAGTATTACGTAATAAAATCAATATATGATCAAACTTTGTTTGGAATGATCGGGTACATGGTAAAACAAGTCAAAATTTTTGGTTTTGGATTGAAGATCCCGAATTCACTTTTGTCTTTCATTCTGAATTGTTCCAGGTTTTCTTACCAATCCGCAATTACAATTCTATTACAAAAATAAATAATTTCTGTTTAAGTACTTCATGTTAAAATACACTTTTTAGGCCACGCGCAAATTTGTCTACAGCCAAAAACCACAAAAACTGGGGATGACAATACTTCTCAAAGAGCCTTTATCGCCACAATATTATATATGAGTAGAGTGTGGCACTTAGCTGGGTGCTAATGTGTGGACTCCATTAACCTATAGCTGTTAGTGCTCTGAAAAATCTAGTCTATGAATCTTTATATAGGTTTACGCATTTCAATCCTATACAAACTCAAGTCTTTCATTGTCTTTATCATACTGTTAATAACGTTTTGTTGGGCGCACTCACAGGTTCAGGTAAAACTATAGTGGCGTATATCAGCATACTTCGAACACTCAATAATTATGAAAGAGCCAAGGTTGTTTATATTACGCCTTTGAAAGCTTTGTTTAAGGAAAGAATTAGCCATTGGACTTTCAACTACTACTTACCACACCAGAAAAATGGGATGGCATCAGCCGGTCTTGGCAGACAAGAGAATATGTACAAGATGTTGTACTAATTGTTATAGACGAAATACATTTACTGGGACACGACAGACACATTGAAGTAATTGTGTCACGTACGAACTTCATTACACCACACATACCGGATGCAATATACGTATAATTGGTTTATCTACTGCTTTGGCCAACGCTCAAGATCCCGCCAATTGGCTGGATATTAAAGAAATGAGGCTATATAATTTTAAACCTTCCGTAAGACCGGTTCTTTTACAAGTGCATATAAACGGGTTTTCCGGTAATTAAACCGAATTGAGTAACTTTTCTGATTTTTCTTTAATCATTTATTTGCAGGCAAACATTACTGACCACGGATGGCCACTATGAATCGGCCGACATTCCAAGCAATACGCTCTTATTCGGTAAATGAGATAACGATAGAAAAAGTGTGTTGCTCTAATATATTTCTTCTTTACTTCTTTGCCAGATACTAGATTATTTACGCTTATGCTTGTGGTATTCTGCCGGTGCCGTCTATGCTCCCGGTGATTTAAAATACCTTAACAAGCTCAAACGCTACATTATCAGTAACTACGAAGAATCAGATAATAATGAATTATATCAATACGTACAATTTGTTAAACGCAGTGTGGAAGCTAAAAGATGTATTATCTCCTTTATTTTATTTTATTCATAGAGTTCAGTTGGAAATCCTTTTGTTTTTTTGCAGGCGAAACAAATCTTTTGTGCTTACATGATTTACTAAACGCTGCTTCAGAATTGTTGGCCTCTTCGTTGCTTTAAGACGTTGCGGAAATAATGCGTATACAAGTAGCTAAAGTTGTATTATGGGGTTACGGACTCGATGATCGAGAATTTGACGCTAATGTTAAAGAATGCTTGGAGAATGCGAGAATCAGTGGCTTTTACTCTGACACCAGACCAGCAATCAAAAAATGGAACTATTTGGAATTTTTCGACGGAATAAAAAGTTCAAGTTATGCGATATGATTTTCAAGGATATTTTTTTTTTTAATAACTTCAGCCATGCTTGACTGTTAACGGCAAAGGTACAGAATTATTTATTGGCGGTTTTGCCATATGGTACGCCAAGAAACATATGCAACCAGGGCCAGTTTTCGGTAGTAAAGATCATTTTTCTTGTCTAGTAGTTATGTTATATATTAGACACTTATACTAATCGCAATGACCTCATAATGTAAGTTTTTATACCTTCATTATTTCAGAGATTCTCTTCATTTTATATAGATTATATTAATTCCTCACAATGTATGGAAACACTGTACAGTCAAGAATATTGTCATCTTTTCTTTAAATTTGATTTTCAGCGCCACCATCCATATATAAGTGCGATGGTTAATAACTCCACTTGAAGCTATGACCGCGACCATGATGGAACAAATACCCAATTAACCGGTTGCGAAGTACGCTTTCGTAATTACAAATTTGACAGGCACATCAGTATACGCTACAAAAATAACATTTTATCTGTGTCGACCGATACGGAGAACCGTGGCGAATGGAAGAACTGCTTTGTCGTTAACAATGTAGAATAACCTACGGGCTATTTCTTCGGTCTCTCGGCTACTACCGATGATTTATCGGACAACCATGATATATTTAGTTTTAAATTTTATGATCTAGACTCAATAGAGCGTGGTGCCCAATTGGTAACTATTTAGCCTTTACCGACTGAGCGCTCACCATAGTTGCGACGAAACTAAATCTTGCTGCGAACACGAAATCGTCAATCGCGGTTTTAACCTAGCCGACTATTCAGAAAAATTAAGCATGCAGATACCGTATGTAGAATGCCTACCGAAAATAATAATAATATTCACGTAGTAGATACGCGATTGGGCAAATTCACAGTTGATGAAAGCGGTTGGCTATGCTCAATGCAATGATGCTACAGAAGAAGCAACACACTTGGAAAATACGAACACGAAAAGGTCTGCTAAAAATTACACCGTAAAGGAGGATCGATTGTTCAAAAATATTGGAGGCATTTGTGAGTCGTTCCAAAAGCTGGCGAAACTTCTGAAAGTTGGAAAATGGGGAACCACGATACGGCGCGTCACATCTGGATGATTTTGGATGCTTTCTCAAAATATAATACTGTTACGAATTTCTCTTTTCTAAGATAGGATTCGTACCACTAAATCGTGGATATTCTTTTCAAGAGAAATACTCTTCTAAATGCTTTTTTTTACAATTATATTCCTTAACAGTAGGAATATTCACAATTTATTTTGGCAGTATTCTCGATTCAAATGTTCTTGTCCGACTAACCCTGCCTTCCGCAAATAGTTTATTTGTATACATTTTTACCAGCATACTATTGCTTAATTTCATGGCTTCATTTTTAATCCGCTGTTAAAAATCTTCTTTTACGGTAATTGTTCTCCTCGCATGACGTGCCTGCGAATGTACACTTGGTTTTTCCCTGTCTTCTTTTTTGCTAATCTTTTTCATCGGCCGCAGCTGCATGACGTGCCGCGAATGTGCATTTGTTTTTCCCCTCTCTAGGGAATTTATTATTTGGGAAAATTAATTATCCGGAATGAGCTGCATTTAGGATTTACGTAACAATACATTTCCGGCCGTCAAAAGTGCATTTGCTAAGCGTGCTCCTTCAGGGCTAAACGAGTTTACAAATTTCTCTGAAACGCCTACGCATATTGATATCAATCGAGGAACAGCGTTTACATCTAAGAAATTTTCCAAATATTGTCATGGCATATTTTGATTGCTGTGAAAACGCCTAAGGCAATCGGTCCTGCCGAAAGAACTAACCGTACCTTGTTTTCTATATTACTGCTATCGGTAACCAATGACTCTATATAAGATTCAAAGTTATCGAATATTAAGTGGTCTATCAATACTAATGAAAACTTCGGGCTAGAGTCTTCATGATTTTTCATTTTGTTATCGTCCTCGTAATATTCTGCAAAATCCAATTTTACTCACGTTAAATAATGAATGATGTCTAAAGGGGCAGAAGATATTTGAAGTGCGCAGCAGCTTTGCTGGTCAAGTAAGACTTCGTCATGAACAAGGAAAGCACAGATTAGATAAGCGGCATACGACCCCTACTAAGTATACCGTCGATAACGTGGTACTACCACAACATAAAACTCCGAGTAGTGCGGGTTCTTTGAAATTATAACTTCGTTTCAAGACCCTTTCCTTGTTGCCGAAAAGATATGCTAGTGGGGACACTTCAGCAACCCATCTAGAAAGTATTCTTCCGTATACACGACCGATCCGGTAGACCATGGTGTTCACTCTCTCTTGTTGTCGATGAAGATGTAGAAAGCGGTTGCGAGCAGGACGGGCATGGCAGAATCGGGGTCCATTCGGCTGCACGGTAACCGAGCTGTAAGGCAAAAAGAGGGGAAAGTAAGCAGTTGCGTCTATGTCGTCTGCGAGGAATAATCCGAGCGTGCTGTTTCCTCTTAAATCGAAACGGATTATGTTGTTAGTCTTCCAAACACCAAATTAACATATACATATATACATATATATACGCTTATAAGTATACAGTTTGGCAATTCCGCGCGTGAGTCAGCCCAAATACAACCAAATCCAAAATTGCCAATTACCGAAACTCAGTGAACTTTACCAGTAGACATTAGTCAGCATTTCCGGTCAAGCATATAGCACTCTCATCATTCTTTACGTAAATTTAGCCTAGTAAGCACATTTTAAAATTTGGAAAATATTTTAGAAATTACAAATACGCTTGTAAAACAAAAATAATATAATTAATAAAGTGATTTTGGCAAGAAAACAAGCAAAACCTTATTTTTTTAATTTTTTGTAGGAGGAGCGTTACGATGTAACGTTACTGGCGCGTTCGCAAAAGTTGACGGCTTATCAATTTAATATCGGGTTCGTAGAAAAGTTCATGGTTTATCAACTTACTATCGGCTCCGCAAATAAAAAAGTGTAATTATAACTAAATGTAATTTCTGTTTGAAACAAACAAATATTTAATTTAAAATATCCGTGAAAATCAAAAAATAAAAGAGAGAAGAAAACAGATTAACACACTAAAAAGTAAGATTGACATATTACACAAAGTATGGTTGGCGGTTTATTAACCTAGAACCACATTACTTCAAGCGAAAATAGGAAATTATCCTGTAATTATGCTAAAGAAATTTTCTCGAAAATCAACTTAAATAATTTAAAACTTTTTTTTACAAACTTTACCTTGAAGAGAAATACGCTGATGTGAAAATATAATAATAAAAAAATACATTACATCGTGACAGACAAATATTTTGTCGTTAAACATTTCAATAAATCTACAAAATAATCAACTTGGTTAGTAGCACTACCAGTTTACCAACAATTCTACCACCCAGTGCGATGGCAACATTGATTAACAAAATTAGAACAACATGAAAACAATAAGAACCGTCATTCTGACATTTGGGTAAATATTACCTATAATTTAATCGATATACATGTATAAAAAATAATGCTAACAATAATATATAATCTTATATATATGCATAAATAGAATTTTTATATCATTAAACTTTCTTATAACACAGCAAACTTTTTCCGTTTAAAGGTAAGTTATATTTGAAAAATTGTGTTTGAAAATCGGTTTAATTTCTCAAGTGCGTATATAAAGAATTTTAAAGTTCATTTGAAAATAGAGAAATATAATTTACACTCGCTCACATCAGCTAACCCCACAAAATTGTTTTTCTCTCTCAGTACTTCCTCACTTCTTCACTTACCACTTCACAAGGCCGAAGAAATTATGTGGTTTTTAGCGGAAGTCGACGGAACAGGTTATACTATGATCCTACTCAGGGCTATGGGCAACCAAATAGTGGGTCAAACGAAGTCTTCAATGTTTACGGCATGCTATTAGTATGGTGGAGAATAAAAGCAACTTTAATTTTTCCTTATTCGAATAAAAGCAACGAAACTTTCTTCAGAAGAGATTTACATAATCTAAAGCAAAACAAACAAAAAGTCGAGTCTTTCTATGCCTCAATCATCGAGATCCAATCTGCAAGTAACAATAATATATTAATTACTGAAACAAACCACAGTGTAATAGAAGCAAAGCAATACTTATTCGCGGAAATGCGCCTCAACACGTTTCCGTCGGGATATAAAGAAACTTTAGGTTCAGGTATCAGATCTATGAGACCAAAAACTTTGGCAGAATCCAATGCATTCTGCATTCAAGAGCAAAACATGTGTTACAATAAAAAACGAACTTTAATTTTCTTCAACAAAATAGCAGAATTATACCACTAGCTAACCAACATACTGATACAACACGTTAATCAATCTTTAGCAAATAATAACAGTTACCAAAAAACCCCTAAAGCTATCTTTAAACCCTGTCAGTCTAACGCAAATAATGCAAACTGGTGCAAGACAAGCCAAAACAACGCAAACTGGACCCAACTAAATAATAAGAATACATGTAATCAGGAAAATTTAGCAGCAAATAAATTCGGGCAGAAAAATTTGCAATACAATCGAAACCCATCCATAAACACATCCACACGAACCAATGGATATCAATTCGGGCTACACTCATTGAGAAAAAGCTAAAAGCGTGCATCGAAGCATCAAGGTGGTGGACTAGTTCTAAATTATGACTATATGCGAGTTAACTCATTAGAACAAAATTATGACCAAATCATTGAGATCGAAAATTCTCGTTGGTCCGCCTCCACAACAAGAAGGACCACAGGTAAAGAGAAATAAAACAAAGTTATAATGACGGACATCTTCGGCGCCTATAAATTATTCGCAATTATGACAGACGATGACACCCTCAAAATAGTACGAAATACATTCCAAACATTTCGGACAAAATAAACTATTGAACTATGCAAAATCTTAATACAAGATATCCGGAGCAACGATAACCAGGATAAATTAATAAGCAGTAACCACAATTCTAATCGCAGACGCAGACAAGAATATAACGAAAACATAATAATACAGAGCAAGAGATCCCTGTAAAGTACATTCAGAACATCCAAGTACAACCTAAAACTCACTCAACCCCGTAATTAATACAGTCATACAAATCCAACAGCTCAACCAAATAAACTACAACATTGACACATGCAACACCTAAATAACGTAACAGAAGCATTAATACTATCCAAACTCAACATGATTCTAATACAAACACAAAATACATTAAACGGTACAATTAACTTACTTTTAGGAGAGTACTATTTTTTTTAGACCGGAAGTGTAAACAAGTGTAGACAAGGTATTTCATTGTGAAATCTCAGATAGTAATGATCGTAATTACAAGTGTATTAAAGATATTTTTCATAATAATAGTTCCGCCTCCTGCCACCTGTAAGACGTTGAAGAAAGAACGGACGCAATGAAATCAGAAGAAAATTACATACTACTTATTAACGCATCCTCAGGGCAGATCTCAACAGTTTCCAATAATGTGGTACAACATATTCTCATCCACAGCTCTAATATGCTGCGAAAAATGCAACGTAAATATCAACGGCATTTCGTATTTAGGGCTATCCAACATTCACTCGGATAAAGGAGCATTTTTAAAAATCCCACTGCAAAGCGAAAGTTACATCGTACCGATTTCGAAAAGCAACGAAATAACGCTCCCAAAACTGAAGGCATATCACTTCCGAAACACAAAAATCCTTGGGGAACTACAAATAAATGCAAAGAAAAGCAAAAACAAAATTTGCACATCATTGGAAGCAGTAACTTAGTCCTGACAACAGCTATCATAATGTTATCAAGGAGACCAACAACAACACTTGGGATAAAATAAGTTAATCATGAAGTCCTCAAAATACAACGCTATTATATTTACTCCGTCAGTATTTGACGAAATCTATACGCAATGATCTGTTCAGCAACGTTTGAATTTCAGCGAACTATCATTAATTTTTTTTGTACCTTTCTCTCCCTGCCTGTTTCAAACTATGTAATGGTCTTTTCGAAGGCACTTTCTAATTGGATGTTCACTATCTTTAACCCTTCAAGTTGCTCCATTGAAACGTCTTCGTTCAAACCACATATAAATGTGCTACGGCAGTATCTAGGTGATTGATGTGAAGTTTGTAGCGAACTGATTTTGGTAAAAGCAAGCGTATGGTGGAATATCTAACCATAGGATCATACGTATCGATGCAATCTGTATCCAGCTTTTGAAAACAATCTTGTGCAACAAGCGGCGACT